TTTCCTGGAATGCATGTACACACATCAGTGGTTTCTGTCTTTCTGAATCTGCAGATCCTTCACAAATTTTCAGGGAAGACGTGGAGCTCTACATAGCAGACTCCAACCTGCCAATGACAGGCTTGCTTCTTTTAGGTACCTTTTGCAGACCTCAGAGAGCACAAAATACCCCACTACAAGAGAAGCACAGCTATCTGTATGCAAAGAGACCCTAGTATCACAGCTGAAGAGCAGGGAAAGCTGTTTCCTCACACCCAGCTGAACTCTACTTCCACTGAAACCAATGCTTTCTTTACCATTGATGCCAGCCGGATAGAGGCAAAAGGGCTTTTGAAAGCCCCGCCTGCAAGGTAAAGCCAGAATACTCCATCTAAAAAAAATCTGAAAAGGTGAACATAGAAAGACTGAGACTACAGAGATGAAACCCCCTTAAAAATAACTAAGAATATAAAGCAAGTAATTGGAACTTGTACAAAGAAGCAACCACAGACAATATATTTTGTAGTGTATTTGGGCAAGTAGTTAGGGAACACAGTAATTGGTGGAAGTATGGTATTAGTGAAAACCATGTTCATCTTAATGATAAGCCCATGTACCAATGCATTTATAATCTTCTGCAGAACTGGTTTTCTTGAAGAGATATAGCCCAGTAATTACCTTACTGCTAATCAAACTTTGCTACCCCTGGCAGCAGCAAAATAACAGCATCAGTAACAACTGAAAGTCAGGTAAACCACCATGCTTTCAGTGCAGTCAGTCATTAGGGGCTACAACAAATCATCCTGGCTGTGGGCCTGGCCTTACACACTCAGGGCGGCATTCAGCTGTACCATCTTTCAGTGTGAGGTTTCACGTGAGTGTCACCCTGGCTCATTCCAGCAGCATCCAGGATGACTGAACTGTGGGTCAGTCCTGAGGGAAATCCTGGCCTCAGAAAAGTCAAAGGGAGCTTCACTACCGACTTTAATGGGATCAAGATTTCACCTAACAGGATTATAAAGGCTACAGCTTCTCTGACAGAGATACAAAATTAGTGAACGCAGTAGGGCATTGCCTCTGAATTTCAGTCAGGCATTTGATACTGTGCCTCATAAAAGCCTGCTATAAATATCGACTCACACTGACTAAGACAGGAACACTGCTGCACTGATTGAAAGCTGCTGGCAAATGGCAATGGATCAAGCTGGGGAGAAGTGTCTGTGACAACAGTTCTCAAACTTTCTTCTTGTATCATAGAGGAAAGCACAGTCTGTGCCTCCACACTATCAGGAACACTGCCAAAGGACACTTCCCACCCACCACAGCAAGGGGTGCTTTACCGTAAGATGGAGAGATGATGCCCCTTGTGAGGCTGAGCTATACCACGTGGGTGTTTGCACTCAGTATTGTGACTGACCCAAGACAGCCTCGGCAGCATCACTGTCTCTTACCCTGGGATCCCAGCTGGCCCCCGCTCTGAGACCCCAGCCCTGACTCTGCTGCTTGTTCCAGAGATAAACTGGGAGCAGTCTGCATGGCTTTCTCTGACTGAATTCTGCCTCCACTAAGGTCCTGAGAAGTTCTGCTACTGACTCCAAGGGGAGCCAACGGTTTCTGGCCCCTGCTGTTTCTCTCTGCTCCTGCTTTTGCGGTTCTGCTTGCCTCCCTCTCTGGACCACATCTTGTGGGTGCTACTGCACCCGCAAGTGCGCTCCTGCCCCAGCTTCTTCCTTCCTGCCACGCTCCCTGCTCCACTCCCTAGGGTTTCTTCTGTATAATGAACACAGAACACTATGAAAAGAAAAATTCAGGGTAAAAACTTGGCAAAGCTTGCTGGCAAAGATGTCTTAGCTTGCTAAACAGACTTCCAGTGAAATGGAAGAACCCTAACGTCTACAATTGCACTAATAATTAAGGACTACGCTTATTGTAATATAAAGGCTCTGACCCTCCATCATGAATGTCAACTGAAGTTTTGCTTTAGACTTCAGCGAGTAGGCGCAACCCAAGCACATGAGGCTGCACTACAGCAAAACACCCCACTGGACCATTACTCTTGATTCTGGGGAGGAGTGCTGCATTTCAGACACTCAGGAGATTTGAATTCTGCTTCTTCCTCCATCCTCAATCTAATGAGTGATTTAAGGGAAGTCATACTGTACCTTTGTGCTCCTGTTTGTCTTCCCTTTGTCTCTTGGTTTAGTGGTGGAATGGCAGTGTTAGGTTAATGGTTGGACTTGATGATCTTAAAGGTCTTTTCCGACCTACATGATTCTACAATTCTATCCTTTGTGTTCTGTGGAGCAATTGATCTTCTTTGTAAATTAATATGAAAAGCAGGAGTGAAAAGAGCTTGTGTCAGAGCCAGGCAGAAGAAAATAAGGTAATGTGATTATAAAAGCAAGTATTTAAAAAGGCGAAAACATTCATTTGAAAGATAGTTACACAAGAGACATCCTCCATCTGCACTGGAGTATTGGCCACAGCAATAATACGTTAACGACAGTTGCTCTGCACATCACCTTTCAGCCTCAGAGCTGAACCCATTACATGGCCCCTGGGAACATAGATTCCCTGAGACCCAGGGTTGGGTTACTGTTATGTGCTGTGCTGCAGCTGACTGTGGAATGAATGATCATGCTGAGGAAAGCAAACAAGACAGCCCGCAAGGTCCCAGAGATCACTTTCAGCTATGAGAAAGCTTCTTTATTTTTATACCTTCTATTTAACTGCTAACCCTTTTGTTTGAAAGCCACAGCAGCAGAGAGCATACTGCAGGCATAGCACAGAGACATCAAAGCAGACAGAACAGGTAGCAGCAGGACACGTCTTCCAGAGTATCATAAAAAGGAACCTAGATAAGCTCCTGTATTTTAGCCAGGAATAGCTTCAAAGGGCCATTCTGGCACAGAGTGTAAACTAAACTCATTTGCAAGTGGGGTAGAGGTGTGTGTCCCTAGTTGAATCAGAGAATTTCAGGGACTGCACAGACTCTGGAGGCTTTGGAAAACAGAAGGTTTTGAACACCCCAAGTTTGTTACCATGTTTTGCTTTTAGGAATGGAAATTATCCCTGTGCAGGAGATGAAAAACATGACCCATACTAAATCATGTTCAGAGAAAGAAACTACAATCAGAGAAGGCCAGGTTGGATGGGGCTCTGAGCAATCTGATCTAGTTAGCAGTGTCCCTGCTCATTGCAGGGGGGTTGGACTAGATGACCACTAGTGGTCCCTTCCAACCCTAAACATTCTATGATTCTATGATTCTATGATTCTAAGGCAACTGAACAAGTCAGGGCTGTGTATGTGCTCAAGCAAGTGGTTCTGTCAGGACAGTGAGGCATGAAGTAAAAATAACCTTAGTCACAGAAGCAGAGAAACGAAGAAGGTAGCTTAACAGATGTGGGATGAGACTTGGACTAAAATCTAGGCTTGATACTTGACTCTGACATTGACCTCCTATGCCTTCTGGGCAATTCATCTAGGTTGAGTTCCCTCCTCAGTCAGCAAAGTCAGCAGTCTGTGGGGAGGTGGAGGAGGGGATGACACACAATTTTCTTTCCACTCCTGATACGGAAGGGTTTTTTTTAACTATGTGGTTTAAGCTCCCTCCCACAACTCTTCAAGCCAAAGACACTGGAGTAATCACGTCACAAGGGACAATACTTCAGATCCAAACCAAAGAAACAGCTCCTTCCCTCACTGCAGTGAATGTGGAGCAGGAAGCTCAAAATTTCATGCTTCCAAAAGCTCTTCCCAAAGCCATGGGAAACACGGCCATAGCAAACAGGTTCCCACATCTGCTGTTGAGTGATGCCTATTCATTAGCCTATGGTAACCCAGAACCCCACAGGCATTCCAGCCCACTTCCATTTTCCAATGCCACTATCATTCAGAGGCAACAACACTGCCTTCGTCCGACATGGGAGGAAGGAAGGAATGTAGTCTCCTCTGAGCTGCTTGAATGTGCAGTTCCCTATTGAACCAAGTCAGAGTGTGCATTTATGACCACTTCTACTTCACATTTACTTTACATGCGTGAAGCTTTGTGTCTAGCATGGACAAGTGAGAAAGTGTTGCCTACACATGATTTTTTGCTGCACTGTCTTGAAGAAAGGCTGGTAGTCTCATTAAGAATCTGCTGCTTTTTTGAGAATTTTTGCTATTATCATGGAAACAAATTCAGACCCATTTCTTTAAGGGCCCTGGGAAACAAGCAGGAGCAGTAGGGCTCTGCTGCAAGTAGTCCCATGTCGATACAAACGCCCTACTCTTAGTGCAAAAGGACTGGAGGAAGCATGGCATTAGCGCTCTGAGAAGGGCTAGTAACATCACAGATGGCACATGAAAAGCCCTGGCATTGGCTGTTTTGCTCCCTGATGACCACATTCACAATTGCACAACACCCCTATGTTTCTTATCATAGGCAAGGATTAGTCTAGTCTCTCCTCATAGTGATATAATAGATGAAAACAGCCATTGGCCTCAACTGGCCAGAAACGTCGGCGCATTCCCGCAGCAAACCTCAGCTTAGAATCAACAAAATAAGCCTACACACTTTATGATTAGAGGTCACATTTGGTGTGGGAAGGAGGATGTGAGTAGGAAAAAAATTGGACCCACCCAGCCTGCCATGCCAACATCAAACTGCTGTATCAGAGCACACACCAAATATTCCCACAGAAATTATCAGCAATGGAAGACTGACAATGCCAACATGTTATTAAATAGTTGTCATTTGGCTCAGAGTCAACATCTTGCTGAACTTAAAGGGTAGATGCATGGTGCTGCCCTGCACATTCTCAGATGAGTATCTGTCCACATGTATTTGTCTGGAAGACAAGATGTTTGAGTCAGACTTACTTCCTTTCTTTCTTCCTTTCTTTTCCTTTTTTTTTTTAATGAGGACTCAGAAATTGATGGAGCTACCACAAAGCTTCTGGTGCCTACCAACCAAACTCCAGGCCCTGTTCCTGGGCAGAATTCCCACATACCCCCTCCACTCTTTCTACACACTTACCATAATGGTGTGATGTGGAAATAGGGCACGGACAGACTTCACAAACTCCACAAAGTGCTCTGAATAGCCGTTTGCCACATCCAGGCAGATGTATCTGATAGGTGGAATGGCCTCCAGAATACTTGTTAACTTGTCCAAATCAGCTTTTCCACTACCTGAGCTTGCTGCTACATGCTAGAAAAACGGAGAGAAGAAAAGGGAGTAGTAATTTATAAAAACACACTTTGGGATAAACATACACTTTGTATGTCTTTTTCTGCATAGTTTTGGGAGGACTTGTGCTGGCAACTAGTGAAAAATCATACAATATAATATGAAATAAATACCTTCCTGGGAATATCAATGTGTTACTTCTGTTTTGCTTAAAGGCTCTAAAAGAAAGCAAACTTAGCATTTCATCAGCTCTTCATTCACAAGTGGATTCTCATGGGCAAATATAATCACTTGAGATGGATGAAGGCTCAGCCCTATTCATATTAACACAAACACAGAAGAAGCCCTAATTTGGTATATTTCCAGGAAGGCAGAGTGGCAAAATTTGGGGCACTGTCAGAGAGTAGAATCTGGATCTTTAAGTTCACCAAACATTCCCTTGATCTACAGAATCACAGAGTAGTTGACTTTGGAAGGGACCTCTGGAGACTGTGTAGTCCAACCCCCTTGCTCAAGCAGGGTCAGCTACCATTGAAAACAAGCAGATTGCTTCCTCCTCTGTCTTCCTATGAGTTCCTTCCAATAGAAAAATAGTTTCCACAGCTGTCGACCCACAAAACCTCTGCAGAGATCCAAGGTCACAGAAATCCAAGGTCACAGAGCAAGTCGGTATTTAAACACTAGAAGATCCTACGCCAGTGATTATGAACCACAAATGAGCGAAGTGCCAAAGTGTTCAGACACAGGATATTCCTGGGACCACTTTCTACCCTATAGTGGCATATAAGCAACGCTGATGAACCTAAATGATAGGCTGGCTTTCAGACAGTCCTGTAATCAACAGTCTTTATAATGTAATTCTAAAACGTGACACAGGTAGAGAGATACAATACAGCTGTCTAGTATTCTTTTCTATGCAGAAAAAGTTTGAAAACTGCACCGAACTCAGAGGAGGAGGGGAGACAGCCAGGCACGCTCTTATACTGCCTCTCCTGGTGTAGGGGCCTGCCAGAAGAACACAGAAGAAATATGGATACAAAAAAGTTGGAACTTAAGTCAATGTTTAAATTTACTAAATGGTGTTTCTCTGTAATGGCTCAGGCTCAGACCCTGTGAACCAGTGGGGCAGCACAGCAGTGTGAGCTCTAGTGCAGGTTGGTAAATGGGGAACACGCACTCTGACAACTTTCAATGCTCATCCCTGCTTGGGCCCAACACCTGGGGCCCTCCAGCCCACAGGCTCCAGGTCCGCTTGCACACCTGATAGCAAAGACTCTGCCTAGCACAAGGGCATGCAGGGCCAGCTTGTGGTTGGGCTACCCAAGGCTATTTGCATTTGTGGTCTTGGGCTTCTCCCTCACCAACACTACCACAGTTCCAAACAGCAACAGAAGCAGGGCAGTGAGACCTATTCCCAAGTCTTTCCTTCTTCTGTGTTCAGGATACTTCTCTGTTTCCATTCCAGGCATATATAAACTTTTCTTTTTTCCATCTTAATATAAGTGCTTTCCTAATGGACTCACATAGCTATTCTTTTTAAATCAGGACAAGTCACTTCCCTTGATGCGTTTAAAAACAGCAAATATCTTCATTCCCCAAAATCTCACTTGACAACAGTATTCCCAAGAGACTCCAGTGTATGTAAGTTCAGAAGAAAGCAATAAACCATAATAATTTACAGTACGAAAATGTACCTCAAGGCATTCTGGGTGATTGGCAGCAAACAGTTTCCATTCTTCCAGAGAATAATGCTTGTGAATTGCAGTGAACATTGCATGCTGGCAAAAATAAGAAAACTGGTATTAATGTCCAAGTTAGTCATCTCTCCCTCAGCTGCAGAATAATGAGATAGCAGAAATTCCCATTTTAAGTATAGGCTCATCCTGCTTGAAAGAAACAGTAATAGTGAATAACAGACCAGGCAACTCCAAATGGCTCTTCAAAGGTAACTTAGCACACTTAGTCAACCTTTCAGGATCAAGTTTCTGATGTGTTTCATTGTTATGGTCAATATTTCGAATGTGCTTTAGCACTGCAAGAAATTAAGGTGAGCCTTGAGGCCAGAGGCTAACTAACTACTAGTGATTCCCGACTGCTGCAGCTTTATCCAGTAACCTACACTTTCAAAACCACGGTCAGCTAATAAATTTTTTTCTGGAAGGGAGCACAATATAGACCTCAAAAACTAAGCTCTAAAGCTCCACCTGAAGCTGAGCTACACCCAAGATGGAAGCTTCCCAGCAAGCATCTCCACTAAAACTATGTTATATCTGGAGCCCTGTCCCTGGTAACTGTACTGCTGTAAAAGCACAGCTGCTTTGCAGTGAAACCACACCTTCTTGTTCTGGATTTTTTAACTCATGCCCCGCTGTTCTCCGACAAACAAAGCTAAAAATTACCAAAGGTTGCTCACTATCACCCAGTGGCTTCCCAGTTGTTGCAGAAAGGAGAATCAAAACTTACTTTTGCCATAACCACAGCCATTTCAAATGTCCCCACAGTGTCCATGTTCGCCACTATAATGGGAATTCCTGTGTATGTCTGCTTCGAGTTGCGGAAGGTGAAGGTGCGCGTGAGGTCGACCTGCAATGAATAGGCACACATTCTTTTAAGTAATTGACTGCAATCTAACACGAGTTTTTCCACTGACTTCAGATACAGCAAGTTTGGACATTGCTGCTTAATTTTCCCCACATTTCCTGTTCTTGCTCCTTTCATTCCACTACTATCTCACTTCATTTATTTATTCTGTTACAACTCCTGCCTTCCAAATAAGAAAGAAAATATAAAAGCAAAATAATGTTTTCTGTGTTAAAAACAGTTCTTGCCAAAGAGAATCAAAATTAAAAAAAAAAAAAAGAAACCAGTCAGAAGGGGCTGGAAAGGAAAGAAAGGACAATAAGGACTGTGGATTGTTTTATACAGAAGTAACCTCAGCTGTTTGTTTGGCTGCCTGAGAAACCCATGTTGAAGTCCTAACCCCACAGAAGTCAGAACTGGAACTCCCATGGCATAAATGGCTTTGTTCCAGTCTTTAATGTAAATGACAATACAATAAAGCAAGCTCTTACTTTTGTCTATGGCTACCAGCACTCTTGCCATATACTATGAAAAATCATACCCTGGCTTATTAAACCATGAGGCTGCTAGTTTCTAAGTTAATTTCTTACAACTGCATCAGCCTTCACCTTCCAAGTCATTTCTTCTCCAGCATCTTCAAATGATCACAGTAACATCAGGCTTTTTGTTCCTTACATTTGCAAGAGGTAATATCAAATTTAGATCAGTTCCCACTGGTCTATTTAGCATCATGCAAAAGGGGAAAAAAAACCCTCTAAGAAATGTGCAACTGTAAGAGGTTAGTCTCTTCAGTAACAGTGAAAATGAAGGCTCTTTCATAGTTTTCATTACTCCTCACTACAGCTTTCATCCAGGAACATTCAGAGACCTGAACTAAACTGAAATCAAGAAAGGAAGCAATAGAAAAAATATAGGACTTTGATTATTTATTTACAACATATTTTGAGCACTGTCCTATTGCAGGCTACATTCTGATTGATTAATATGGTGGGGGATTTATTACTGATTTGTATTCGAGAAAGAAGTTGGTGCCTCAGTGATATATTATGAAACATGTTCTCATTTTGTATAAGCCCATAAGGGAAGGGTCACTTTGGTGAACAAGTTAAGATATATCTTAACAGACTCATCCTTCTTCACATTTACTATCAGAGAGGCCCAATTCTCCACCCGTCACTGATGGCATAACATACTTACGGGAATTTCAGCTGCAGCTAACATGAGAAAATAGTATGAAGAAGATAAGTATGAAAGAAGTATGAAAATGTTTTATTTTACTCCCTTTTAACGCAATTTATTAACTAGAACCAAGGAAAAAAAGGCCAAGTATCACACAATCTGTTCTACACAGGCAATAGTACCAGAACCACTGCCTTACAGTTTTACAGAGGAAAAACATATCTTTTAAATTAACTTAGGAAAGAAGTAGAAAGTAAGAGTACGTTTAAGAAAAGTCTGAGGGAAGATGCAAAGCTATGCAGGCCATTACTCCTTTAGTGATTCTCACCTCCACTTACTGTAACTTCTCATATGTGACTTCCTTTAGCCAGCCAGCCAGATGGGTATCATGCAACTATCCACACAACTTGTAATACTGTAATGGCAGGCATTTATGAGGGATAATTGTGGGGCTTCCCCTAATGAGGCTTTTGTTCTATAAGAACAGGAGAAATGGCACACTGGGTCAGAGATGTTTACATGGTGCCCTAGTTCTCCGAACAGCCAGTACCAGATCTCTGGTAAGGGAATATAAGGACAAGGCACGTTTTG